CTGTTTAAATCATCTGTAAAATCTTGTTAACTGGCAAGTTTGCACTGGGATTTGCCATTGATCTGGTCCCTTTGATAAGTCTCAAGTGATTCGTGGTATTGCTACTGTTCAGTTTGTGAACAGATCTTTCCATGGCTCCAGCAGATGTCTTTCAAGTTTCCTTTGTAGACTGAACTTCTGAAAAATAATCCCAAATGCCTAAAAGGTTTCTTTAAAAAAAAGAAAAGAAAAGAAAAACTGTTTAGAGTGTTATCTATAAATATATTGTATTTTTTATTTTGTGTAATTTTCCATTTCATGAAGTGTTGTCAGTTTCAAAGAGAAAGTGGAGGGGAGCAAACATATGGCCTAGAAATAATTGTTTTATTAAAGAATGTGGATGGATGGCTGTGTCCTGGGTGCGTATTACCAGTTCAGACAGGACTGGCCCTCATGGTGATGGTTTTCCCCAATACCACAAGAATTTGGGGAGCATAGAAAAAGGGGGTCCTTCTCTATAGCCATCTGCTCGCTGGTGAGTACCCAGTGCCCAGCTCCAGAACAGAGCTCTCTATTGGACCCAGACAGTCATGAGCAAAGCTAAAGGTGGCCTCAAAGTTGTCCTCTTTCCTGGAAATCTGACAACATAGTGATTGTGGAGATGGTTGCTCCCCAAGGGTGTAGATGTGGTGGACATCTTCCATTTGTCCCTCAGCAACTCACTCTCTCTACTCGTCTCTACATGGTTTTGTGCCTGAGGACCACATCTGACATCTAAAACTGAAGCTCATGGCTCCTATAAGGTGGCCTTTTCTCTCTGGCTTCTGGCAGCCACTCCTTCCACTCGCTCCTCCAGGTCTAGGGGTGCTAATGACACTCTGCTCGCCTAACCTGGGGTATTGCATTATCTGTCCCCTACAGGGACATTTATAAGAAGTCCTTTTAATAAGCCCCCCTCAAATACTTCAAATTGAGTATGTCACTAATTTCCTGTGGGGACCCTGACTGACACGGGGTCATTTATAACTCAAGGATAGAGACTCTATCTGATCGAGGACAGTCTTTTTAGGTTGACCAGATGAAGAGACTTTTAGGTCTTCTTGGGTCATATCGGGGAAGGATATTAGAGGCCATATCTTTTAAAACACTCAGAATTAATGCCAGACTATTTAACACATGCCACTGTGTTGTGCTATATATAGTGTCAAGGTTTTATGATTTTACTGCTTTCTGTAGTCACCAGTACCTAAAGGATGAGCCAAAATGGCGCAAGGGTAGGACTACTTGATGTATCAGTCAGTGTAAGGTAGCTTATGCTGCAATAAAACAACCCCCAAATGTCAGGAGCTTTACATAAGAAATGCTTATTTCTTGTTCATGCTACATGTTCATTTCTGGTATCTGGTAGCTCTTCCATGTCATCATCAATCAGGTCTGGGCTGGTCTGGGTTGATGGACTAGTTGAGTTGCTACCTGGAGCACTGCTGATTCCTATGTCAGAGGGAAAGAGAGTATGAAAATCACACACTGGTTCTTACATGCCTATGTGAGACATCTCACTTCTCCTCACATGTCATATGGCTGCTCTTAACTTCAGGTGAAAAGCGAGGTGAACCAGAAATATCTGATGGACCCCATCGATGACTCTCACCTGTGACACTCATCGATAGGGAAATGACCAGAACTCTGCTATTTGTTTTAACACTGTACTTCATCACTATTTCCTTACTGACATTTTCAACAAAGATTTTTAACAATTAGAATAAGGCCATCTATCAGGTAGAATGGAACGACTTTTTAAACTGACCAGTTGTTGCCTGGCAAGCCATCAGTGTGATTGGGCTGATACAAATTTAAATGGTGGCAACATATACATGAGCAGAGAATCTCAGAGTTGGCAGTCCTAACCCCTCACCCACTAAGTGCATTCTTTCTGCAGTTTCTCAGGAAATAATTCTCAGGACTAATGCTTCCAGAGGAGAGCCCCCTTCACCCAGGCCCCCTTCTTTGGGTGGTGGCGCCAAGTTCCTTTTGCAGAACCACCTCTTCTCGTCTTGGAGGGACCACACTGGGCAGATTGTCAGCCAGGTGGCAGGTCCTCTTAGGTCACATGACTCAAGCCAGACCGTAAGATCCTCTTCCTGGAATTAGAGTCTCCATCAAGAGGAAAAGGAGCTGAGACTTTTAGTTGTATTTTTGAAGTGGTTGTTTGCGGCAGCAGTCTGCGGTGTTTACCTATGCCGCCATCTTGGTCTCTCCCTTACTGACATTTTCAACAAAGATTTTTAACAATTAGAATAAGGCCATCTATCAGGTAGAATGGACCGACTTTTTAAACCGACCAGTTGTTGCCTGGCAAGCCATCAGTGTGATTGGGCTGATACAAATTTAAATGGTGGCAACGTATACATGAGCAGAGAATCTCAGAGTTGGCAGTCCTAACCCCTCACCCACTAAGTGCATTCTTTCTGCAGTTTCTCAGGAAATAATTCTCAGGACTAATGCTTCCAGAGGAGAGCCCCCTTCACCCAGGCCCCCTTCTTTGGGTGATGGCGCCAAGTTCCTTTTGCAGAACCACCTCTTTTCGTCTTGGAGGGACCACACTGGGCAGATTGTCAGCCAGGTGGCAGGTCCTCTTAGGTCACATGACTCAAGCCAGACCGTAAGATCCTCTTCCTGGAATTAGAGTCTCCATCAAGAGGAAAAGGAGCTGAGATATTTTAGGGCTTGTTTTTTGTGGGAGGCTATTCCGTGAGAGGACTGTCCAGGAGTTCCTGCTGCTGAAGGCTCGGGAGCAGCCTACTCTGTCTTCCCCGAACCCAGCTCCCTGGCCCTCTCTTCTTTCTGTGAGCTCCACTACACCCAACCAGGAAGTCCCCTTCTTAAAGTAATCAGAGTTCGTTTTGATGCTTGTGACCTACGCACCACAGACTAGAGAGGTCTTAGCAATTCTTCTAAAGGACTAACATGCCCTTTGGAGGGAGAGTTGGTGGTCAGTGGATACATAGCAAACACAAAGAATCAAAAAGGACCTCACTGGCCTGCCCATCCACAGAGGGGGCTGGAACCATGAGCTGGAGTTCCCTGGTCCAGTTATCTGGCCCAGGTGTGATCCTACACCCATCAAACAAAGTTGGAAGCATGCTTTGTACCACTTGTGTAATGTAAGTAGTCCAGTCATTGTCACAGTATCCGCCCCATTTTATAGCTTGGGACTGAGTCTGGAAGGAGTCACTTCACTTGCCTAAGACCACACAGCTTCCAGAAGGGCAGCTAGGACTCTCAATACAGACTTCCCTGGACTGTGTCTCCATGATGCCCAGGCACTAATAGACTCAGTTTAGGGATCATCTTGGGAACTGGAAACCCCATGAGGCAAAGAGCACATTGGTCTTGTCCAGGTCAGTATCTCACTGCCTGGACCCCACACCCTAAATCCATTTTTCCATTATCACCTGACTAAATGGTGCCTCCATCCCCTCTGTGAGTCAAGCCCCAAAGCCAGGAGTTGGCTTCATTCTGCTCTTTCCCCCACCTTCCCTCCCCTCCCCTGCCCCACAT